AGGAGGAGGAGGAGAAGGAGGAGGAGGAGGAGGAGGAGGAGGAGGCGGCGGCAGTGGCTGGGGTTAGGAGACCCTGTCCCCATCGAGGTGACATAAGCACCAAACTCCCCAGAGAGAGGCATGTGTGGCAGCTCCCTCCAGGGAACACACTTGAAGTTTCATCCTGTTCTGCCTCTTGAGTTGTTCCCATACTGTGAGGAAAAGAAAGGAAAAAAATTCTGATAGAGTGAAACAAGGTAAATACTGAACAATGTGTCTGAAGTGGTTTTCAGATGGTGGACATCAGCAACACAGGACAGACTCGGAGAAGGACGAGGAGCCCAGCTGTTCCCCAGTGTCTCAGCTCACTGCCACCAAGTCTGATTGCTTAGACAAAGTGGAAATATGCTTTGAGGAGCATAATGTGTCCAAACCTAAGAAGAAACTGAAAATCTGAATGCCCTATGTCTATTAAAGAAATTGAATTCTTAATATTAAAATATTCTGACAAAGTGAATTCCAGACCTGATTGAACTGACTGATGAATTCCACTAGTCCCTTAAAAAATAATACCAATTTTACACAAATTTGCTCTTACCATAGAGAATGAGAGAACACTTCATAACTCACTTTAGAAAGTCAGGATAGCAGTTGAAACATAGCCTTAAGAAGAAATTTTAAAAAAGAAAATTGTAGTCCAATCTGATGGCAAAATCTCCTCAGTATGATATTAACGAATCGAACCTTGGAATTCTTCAAAAGGCAAATGCTGTATCACAAAGTGGGGTGAATTTGATGATTGCAAAGTTGCTTGAAAATTTGAAAACTAATTGGTGTAATTCATCATGTTAACAAGATAAAGAGTAAAAACCATTTGATCATATCAGTAGATGGAGAAAACTTGGACAAAATGAGACACCATTTCATGATAAAACTCACAGCAAACTGGGGGCAGAGCAAGATGTTCTCAATCTGATAAAAGACATCCATAGAAAACCGACCGTTAGCTTCATATGTACCGATGGGATGTAGGACTCTCTTTTTTGCAAGATTAAGAAGAAGGCAAAAATGTTCAATATTACCACTTATGCTTATCATGACCTTGGAGATCCTAGAGATTTCAATACAGCAAGAAATATAAGACATAGAGATTGATAAGAAATAAGCAAATTAGTGGGCCAGGGATTTAGCTAGCTCAGTGGTTTTGCCGCCTGCTGCGCAAGTGCAAGGACCCGAGTTCAATCCCCAGTACCAAAAAAAAAAAAAGAAATAAGCGAATTAGTACAATCCACACGGTTATGCAGAAGAGTCCATGTGGTGGCCTTCACTGCTGCCTGGGGAAGGCTTCACCTGGAAGGCAGTTCTAGGAATGGAGTTTAAGAGGTTTTCTCACTTGAGTTGGTAGAGCAGCTCAGTGTGTCTAAGCACAGTGCTACAAACACGATAGCTTTTCCTTCTGAAAGTCTAGAATTTTAGTACTTGCCATAGAGGCTGCATATGGTATATGGCTGGGCCCAGGTAGAGTCCCAGGTGGGTAGAGTCCTAAGTGACCTCGGGGAGAGACTCCTAGAAGCTCAAGTCTACTCTTCCCCAGGCTTTCCCCTTTGTTGGTTTTGTTTTGTTTCTTTTCTTTGCAGGATGCAGGTTCTGTGAGTTCTAGGAAATCACTCCCCCTGAGGTTGGTCTGCTTCTTTCTCCAACATAATTATGTAGAAAATCCAAAGACAAAGAAGCTACTAAAACTAGGAAGTGAACGTAGCAGGGATACAGGATACAAGCCAATTAAAAAAAAAAAACCACATCAAAACAAAAACTATTGTATTGCTATCCTAGCAAAAAGTAACTGCAAAGTAAAGATTTTTTTGATATCATTCACTAAAACATCAAAAGACTCAAAATAAGATTTTAATTACAAAGTGTGGAAGACTTGCTGAAAACCACAAAGTATTTCTGAAATTTAAAAAATCTAAACAGATAAAGGGGTGTGCTATGTTTATGCACTGGGAGACTCAGGCAGGTGCCCAGGTACCTCTGCCATCGAGGCAGAAAAGAAGGGGTCTTTTCAATAAAACAATGAGAAATGTAAAAAATAATAATAAATTATACCTTTTGGGCTATATGGAAATCTTAATGGAGAAAATGAATTTTGACCCTAACTCATGTCTTTTTTTAAAAAAACAAAGAAATGATTTTGGTTAGGCAGAGATTTTAAAACAGGATGATAAAAGCGCTAACCACAATAGAAAAGAGAAGAAATTGGAATGTAATGCAGTTACAAACTTCTTTTCATCGAAAGAAAATGTTAAGAGAGCAAAAGGGTGATTCACAAGGAAGCATCAATGCTTCTAGCCACCAGATGGCTTGTGCTGTGATATATAAAGGACTCTTACAAACCCTAATGAAAAGGACTGCAAACTAATGTTTGTTAAAATGAGCAAGAATCTTGAACACAATGGCCAATAAGCAGATGCCAAAGGGCTTGATACCGTTAGTCATCAGGAAATCAAAGTAGTCACTAGGGGCCACCTGCCCCTGGACCAAAATGTCGAAAGTGACAAGGACAGAGAAACCCATCTGTGGTAAGGACGTGGCATGTTTTCTTGTGGCTGATGAGGGTGTAAGTTGCTACAGCTCTGTGAGAGGGCTCGGAATTGAGTTGGAGTCTTTCTCATAAACCCTGATAAAAAGATAAAAGAGAAGGTCGGAAGGTAATGAAAGAAGAGTTTTCGTGCTTGATCGCCTGAGAGTCACTTTCACAAAAGACTGCCAGGACCACAGCTTTGCACAAAAAGTACTTCTACAAGGACATCTGCCCAGCACCTGACTGTCCAGCCTCAGACTGCTTTCATCTGTATTAATCCTTGAGGCCAAGGATCATTATCACAAAATACCTTGTGTAGTTCTCCTAATGTTTGTCTTAAAAAACACCCCCCAGGGCCAGGGATTTAGCTCAGTGGAGTTGCACCTGCCTCACAAGCACAAGGTCCTGAGTTTGATCCCTGGTACCAAAAGAAAACCAAAAACAACAAAAACAAAAAACAAAAAATAAGGGGCCAGGGATTTAGCTCAGTGGTTTTGTTACCTGCTGCGCAAGCGCAAGGACCCGAGTTTGATCCCCAGTACCAAAAAATATAAAAATTTAAAAAACCAAAAAAACCAAAAAAATAAAACTTCCCATTGCCTCAACCCTTTCAATACGCTGCTCATTGTTTACTATGGCACACATCTTCCTACTGCAGCGTTCTATTATTCCTTAACAAATGCTGTCATTCCTCAGAGAATCTCTAGTTGTTATTTAGGTAACCAACATCTTGGAGAAATTGTTTGACAATATCTGTTAAAGCCATGGATTTACATTCCCCATGAGCTACTGGGCATATTCCCGAGATTAAAACACTTAGGTTCATCAGAAGACACATACAAGAATGTTCACAGTGGCATTATATTAAATAGAAAAAAACTGGAAGCAACCTAAAGGTCCACTAACAGTAGGATGAAGAAACTGTGGTACAACCTTACAATGGAGGGCCTCTGTAACCACTGCTTACAAAATGTCAATTTGACTTGGGTAAGACTGGCCTCACTGATTAGTAAATTCTGAGTGTGTCTGTAGATGATTGACATGAAGGCCAGCAAACTGATGGGGGAAGACCCACCCCGGATGTGGCTGTCACCAACCAATAGGCTTATAGCCTGGATAGAATAGGAAGGAAAAGAAGGAAGTGTTTCCCTTTACGGAGGGGCTCCCTTCTTTGCCATTGCCTTTGGAGATTTCTTCAGCATTTGAGAGCAGACTCTCCAGGTTCCAATACGGACTCACACCGGTGATTCAACAATGAGCTTCCAGGCCTTCAACTGTGCTACTGGATTCTCCATGCGGCATGCAGTCAGTCAGCTTTGATTCTTCAGCCTCTGATCCCTCACATGGCCAGTGGGACTCTGCTGCTTCTGATCCCATCAGCCTGCCTAATAAATCTCTTTATTATATTCTGTTCCTCTAGAGACCCCTAATACAGCTGTACAGCAAGGAAAGAAACCAGCAAGCCCAAGATTGCTACATACAACAGCATGGATGGATCTTGAATGCACAATGTCTAGTGTAGGAAGCCAGACCTGAGACCTGAGAGCACATGTGCCTTGTGATTCCACATGTGTGAGCTGCAGGGACAGGAGAGATTTCTTGTAATAGAAGCCGGAAGGGTGAGTGTCCCCAGGATGGGCAGTGTGGGTTGGGAAGCTGATGTGGAAGTGAACAAGAGAGCCACCTTCAGGGAACTAGAAAAACAACACTCCTGGTCTTGACCTGGTTACTCAGGCTAAACAAACGTGAAAAGCCATCCTGTGTGCCCTAAAAGACATGCTCTTTCGCCTGTGTACACCACATCTTCCTTAGGAAGGAAAAAAGCCAGATACACTGGTGAAGGAAGAGGCGAGGAGGAGAGGAGAATGTGGGAGGGCTTACAAGCCTGCTAACCAGGCTGACCAGGAAGGCAAGACCACGAGACAGGCCCCTCCTCAGTGCTGCAGCATTTGGAGAGGCCCTCTGGGTCCAGGGGACGCTGAGCGTGGGCCCCGGACAGCAGGCAGAGACCAACACTAGCTGAGGCCAGTCCATTCCTCTTGGTGACTCATTCACACCTCACACCAGACTTTTATTCGGGCCATTATTCCCATGGGAGGAAGCCACAATACCACATCTCATGGATTTTCCCTAGGTCACATTCTGCATCCATCTAACATCCCCACTGCCCGGCTCCAGGGCCCCATGCTCACCTCTGCGCTTACTCACTGTGAGTCCTGTCTCCTCCTGAGTCTGCTTTGTAGATTTTTGTCTCTTTTGTGGATAGGATCCTAACAGCCCTGAGTCTGTTCTCTAGGCCCTTGGTGCTTAGAGGAGCAAGGAGGAAGATTTCTTTAGTTAGGTCCCCAGTGATGAGATTCAGCAGGTGGATAGGAACACAACATGGAGATGTCATCAGGACCTGGGTCCTTGACACAGAAGAAAGGACGTGGAAGCCACCTACTCTATTTTGGTCCCCTGCGTCCATGTCCTGGCTCACTGGGGCAGCACTGGGGGCTCTTGGATGGAGCCCAGTTCCAGAGGTCCTGATCACCTCCTGACTGTGGTCTGAACATACACAACAGGGTGTGTGCGGCACACCCACAAAGAGTCACCTCTGTGCCCCTGTCCACCCCAGATGGCCTGCTGCTTTGGGCAATTCTTGGAGTATCTGCCTATGAGGTGAATTTAAGAAATCCCTCCTCTGCCCTTGCTCACTTCTCCTACCCCTCTACACATGTGGTACCCTTCTCTTCCCCGCATTGTTTCCCATTCCGCTTTCCCCTGCAAAGGGCTGCAGTCCCTGCCACCCAGTAGCTCAAGTGGTCCTTGTGTTTCCAGGCAAAGACCACAGGGTCTCCTGAGGTCCTGAGGCAGGACAGATCCCTGGAGGGTCACACACTCCAAAACAGTTAGAAGGTGGACCTAGAAAAAACAGAAATGCAAACATGAAAACCCAAAGATAATGTTCTGGGGCCACATCAGGCAGGGGCTGATGTCCCTCCAGGGCCAGGCCCTGAGGTCAGGAGTGTTACAGCACAGTGTAATTGTTGTGCGTAGTGAGAGCCTAAGCCACCAAGCAAGGGTTACCCTACACCAAGCATCCTGCTGAGGAGGACAGAAAGGTTTGTCATCTGTCTCGGGGATGCCAGGGGATTTTTAACGTGTTGTGTTCCACAGGTCATCAACTAACTGTTTAATTCAGTAATATGGAGCTGCTTTTCCCTGATGGAGAGATGGAGGGTGTGGATGGGTGTGTTATGGGTAGTTTCCTATAGCTCTTTGCTTTGGACACTCTGGTTTGGCTTGTGCATGTTCACTGTTTAATTAAGATCTTTCAGAATCCTTTATTATTATTATTATTATTATTATTACTATTATTATTTTTGTACCGAGGATCGAACTTGGGACCTTGCATTTGCGAGACAGGTGCTGGAACCACTGAGCCAAATCCCCGGCCTATTATTATTATTTTTAATAGGAAGGGAGCATGACCCTGAGCAAACCAGCCACTGCTGAATAAACAGGAACTGAGAATTCAGCCAACAGATGCTCCGTCTCTACACCAGGAGTGCAAAGGTGAGAGGAGATGTTGCTTCCAGGTGTTTTGAGACTCCTGAGTGAGGTGGGCTTTGGGAGTTTCAATTCTAGTGGTAAAAGTTAATGGTTTTATGTTTTCTCTTGATGCTTTTTTAACCTCTTTATCCAGCTGTTTAAAAAGGACTTCTTCCTTGGGGAATGAAACCAAAGTGGTTCCATGATCTCATTTAATTTCTAACTTTATTAACTTTTGTGGGTGTGTGCTCACGTGCAGCTCTAACACCCAGCGTCAGGGGCTCCAGGTAGAGGGCCTGACACAGACCTGGTACCACACAGTGCACATTTAAACTGAGGCAGTGTTTACCAAGCGGGAGGCTGTGCCTCGCTCTGTGTGTGGCTGCTCGTAAATGAACATGCATCGGAATGAACTTCACAAACTTGCTTCTCTTACCTATGACACAAACCAGGCTGCTTTCCTTACAGAGGTCTTGGGCCTGGCCAAGCAGAGCATAGGGTCTAAGGGAAGGAGGGTCTCACCAGCACATGCCTCCTGCTGGGCCTGCCAGCTGGGATTCTGCCATATCCTCTGTGGAAGGCTGGTGTGGTCCCAGTGTCATCAGGAGACAGAGGTGAAAGCGGAGATTGATCAGAGATAGATTTTGGTCCAGCATCCAGGAGGCATCTTTGCCAAATGACCAAACTTTGGCGTGGATGGTGGGCTCAGGAATGGAAGCCCCCTCCCCCCCAAAAAAGGATGCTATTTTGGGCATGAAGTGCTGTAACTAGTTTTATTTGTCATCTTAACTGGAAATGCTGGAGCTCCCCAAGTTTGGGAATATCAAGAATCTTGTCTGTTCCAAAATAACATCTGGCATGTAGTAGGTGTGTGTTATCAGTCAGTGCTTACTAGAGAAACAGATTTAATGCAAGATATATAAGTATATAAGAATTTACAAGATTGGCTTATAATGGCCACCTGCAGAGTCAGCTGTGGAAGAGTGAAAAGGTCTGTCTGTGTGCTGGAGATCCGAAGGATCCAGCTGAAGGTCTGGAACTCACTGCAGTGTCCTGTGTGAGTCGCTATCAGGAGGCCACAGGGTCTGTGATGCAAGCTGAAAGGTCTGCACTGGAAGCCAGGAGATGACGTCCCAGGTGAAGGTGAAGACTGGAGCTCCCCAAGGAACAGAAGCGAGCCTTCCTTCTCAGTTTCCCTTTAATTCCATTTAGGCAGCAAGCCCATTTATTATTGTCATTCATGAATGGTAAATCCCAGCAAAGCTTCAGTAAATCCCCTCACCCACACCCAGAACTATGCCAATCCAATTTAGTTGGGCATTTCTACTCAAATTGATACAATCAGTTAACTACCATAGCATGCAACAATTACGGAATGAATGAATGAATCCAAATGCAATCCAAGCACAAATCTTTCTACTCTACAATAACTTACCATCATAGGGGTCTTGCCTGGGCCACTCAGCCAGGAGTGGGTAAACTTTTTCTGGAAAGGGCCATACTGTAAACATTCTAGGCTTTGCAACTGATCACTTTAGCCATTGGAGTGAGAAGACCACCATGTAAGTTGCATATTCCAATCTCTACTTTTTTTGGGGGGGGGGGTACCAGGATCGAACTCAGGACCTTGCACTTACAAGCCAATCTCTACTTTTAAGACAAAGGGTGAGCCAGACATGGTAGCCCACACCTGTAATCCCAACAGTCTAGGAGGCTGAGGCAAGAGGCTCATAGGTTCAAGTCCAGCCTGGGAAACCTAGCAACTTAGCAAGACCTTGATTCAAAATAAAAGTCTGGAAACATAGCTCAGTGTGAGGGACCTGGGTTTAATCCCCAGTACCACAAATTAAATTAAATTAAATTAAATTAAATTAAATTAAATTAAAAAGGGGCTGGAGGTATAGCTCTGGGTATAATCCCCAGTATTGCTAAAAAAAAAAAAAGACAGAGGGTGGGCAGATGTGGCCCTCAGGCTGTAGTCTGCCAACACCTAGGCCCACTTGCTGCTCCCACACAACAGAGACTGCTTCTTCAGATTCTTATGGGACCCAGAACTGGATTTTTAAATTAAATCTATATATTACAACTGCTTCTCCATTTATTGTTATGTTTTAGGGGCTTTTTGGATTGCTATATATTAGGGCTACGTTTAAAGGCTGAAAATGCCGACAATACTTCAGAAGGTACAGTGCATGGAGTAATCTTCCCAGCTCTTGGACCTGAGATCAGGCTCCATGGGCACTGCGCTCTGCTGAGCAGCCACCAGGGGGCAGCCTCTGCACACGCGGCTCACAGGAAGTCTCAAAGGTGGACACACTCCTGGGAGTGTTTTATGCTCCCCTTGGGTACAGGCATCTAGGGTAGAAAAGACTGAACAAGGTGCTCTCTTCTACTGCAGCCTTCAGAAGGTTTCGTGATTCTGTTATGTGCTAAGTGTGTTACTCAGGCAAGTAAACCCTCAAGTCCAAATGTGTTGGGCTGGGACACAGTCAGTGGTACAGTGCTTACTTGAGCGTGCGCCAGGCCCTGGCTTCCACCTCCAGCACCAACGAATAAATATATACATATGAGTGACATAATCGGGACTAGGTCAAGGACTAGGCACAGCACCCAGGAGAACAAGTCTGAAGTACTTAAATAACTGACTACCTTGTTTAGGGGGAGGCTGAGTGCTGTGAAGGAGGAGGGTGCTGCTAGGCCTCCTCTGGGGTCTCCCAGAATTTTCTTTGACCCCAGCTGCACACCCATCAAGTACAACAGGGCAATGTCGTAGCTCTCTGGGGTTCTTCAGATGCTTCCCTGGGTTCAAATGTGCATGCAGGCCCACTTTGCTTCACTGTACTTTGCTTTATGGTGTGCCACACATGTTGCATATTTCACAAATTGAAAGTTTATGGCAACTCGGTGTCAAGCAAATCTGCTAGTGCCATTCATCCAACTGTATTCTTACTTCCTCTAACTGTATTCTTACTTCCTGTCTCTGGGTCACATTTGGTAATTCTTGCAGAATTCCACATTTTTCCTTTATTATAATACTTATGGTGATTTGTGACCAATGATCTTCAATGTTAATATCATAATTTAGGGGGAGGGCACTGTGAACTCTGCCCATATAAGATGTGGGGTTTTTTTTTGTTATTGATTTGGTTTGGTTTTGCAGTACTGAGGATTGAACCCAGGGCTTTTTCACTGAGCTACATCTCCAGCTCCCTTTTATTTTTTATTTTGAGATAAGATCTTGCTAAATCACTAAGTTGCCTGGGCTGGGCTTGAACTTGTAATTCTTCTGCCTCAGCCTCCCAGAATGAAGATAATGGTCTTCATTGATAAGTGTGTGTGTTCTGACTCCTCCACTGACTGACTGCTGCCCTGTCTCTCTCACTTTCTTTCCATAGCCTCCCTAGGCCCTGAGACACTACAACATTAAAAGTAGGCCAATTAATAATCCTACAATGGTCTGTAAGTGTTTAAGTGAAAGGAAAGGTCTCATGTCCCTCACTTCAGATCAAACGCTAGGTGTGATTAAGCTGCAGGAGAAAGCAGGTTGGAAGTCAAGCAAGACAGGTTCAAAACCAAGAAAGACTGAAAGCGAACCTCTTGTGCTTGTTAGTCAAGGTGTTAGTGGAAAGGAAAGAGTTTAGAAGGAAATAAAAAAATGCTGCTCCAGTGAACACATGAATGGTACAAAAATAAAGCAACTCTCCATATTGTTATCAATATGGAGAAAGTCCAGTGGTCTGGATAGATGATCCAACTAGCCACAACATTCCCTTACACCAAAGTCTGTTGCAGAGCCAGGCCCTAGCTCTGCAGCTCTACGAGACAGACAAGTGAGGAGGCTGCAGAAGAAAACTCTGAAGCTGGCAGATGTGGGTTCCCAAGGTTTAAGGAAAGAAGCCACCTCCATAGAATAAATGAGCCATGTGAAGTAGTGAGTGTTTATATAGAAGCCACACCAGGTTATGCAGAAGATCTAGCTGAGATCATCAACTGACAGGGACTGACACTAGTCAACAGATTTTCAATGTAGACTAAGTAGTCATATTGACAAAAGATGTTATTTAGGATTTCCATAGCTAGAGAGGAAAAGTCTATGCTTGGCTTCAAAGGACAGGCCACCTCTCTTGTTAGGAGCTGATGCAGCTGGTGACTTAGAAGCCAATGCTTATTTCCCATTCTGGAAATCCTTGGGCCCTTCAGAATTAGACCAAACCAACTCTGCCTGTGCTCTATAAATGGAGGAACAAAGCCTGGATGACCACATATCTGTTCACAGCATGGTTTGCTTTGAGACCTGTTACTCTGATGGAGACAGACAAGACAAACGTGTCTATGCCTGCTAACACAGCATCCCCTCTTTCAACCAGGGCTCAGGAGTCATTCTGACTCTCAAATTTTATTATTAAGAGACACATTTCATCAAACAATTATTCCTCTGATTGATCAGAGGAAAATAAATTGAAATCCTTCCAGCAAGGAATCATCAGTCTAGACACCATTCAGAATATTCATGATTTATGGGAGGGGGCTAAATTATCAACATTAACAGGAGCTTGGAAGAAGTTAATGCTAACACTCATGGAAGACTCAGAGGAACTCAAGATTTCAGCAGAGAAGGAACTGTAGATGTGGTAGAAAGAGCAAGAGGACTAGAATTAGAAGTGGAGCCTGAAGATGGGGCTTAAGTGCTACCATCTCATGATAAAACTTGAACATATGAGGAGTTGCTTCTCACAAAAAAACCAAAAAAATGACTTCTTGAGATGGAATCTGCTCCTGGTATAGATGGTGTGAGCACTGTTTAAATGATGACAAAGGTTTTAGAATATTGCATAAATTTAGATGATGGAGCAGCAGCAGAGTTTGAGAACATTGATTCCAATTGTGAAACAAGTTCTTGTAGGGGTAAAATGTTCTTAAAAAGCACTGTATACCACAAAGAAATCATTAAAGGAAGGAAGAGTCAATCTATGCAGCAAACTTCAGTGGTGTCGTATTTTAAGAAGTTGCCACAGTTACACCAA